TTGGGTAAAATTACTTAATCTCTCTAAAATATAGTTTTTTTCTCCTAAAATTGCAACATAAATACTTCTAAGTCTCTGTGATAATTAAGAGAAACAGTATAAAAAAGGAATCAGAAAGTATCTTACACTGTGCAGATTTGTACCGCTAACTGAAAGAATCCTTCCCTCACTGCCACCCTAAATTCTTTACAGAGAAATAACCTGGTAAAATAATGGGAAGTAAATGTAGCTCATTTCCACAGCCATAATAAATGTTTGTTGAATAGTTTCCTCCTAATAATTATAATAATAAAGAAGTAAAATTTCACAGATCTCTCTGTGGGAGAACTTCATCAGGAGAAAAGGGAGAAATTTAGGAAAAAAGGAACGAAATCTCAAATAGAAAGATGGAAGAGTAGATAGGATCAGCAAGTCTTGAGAAGAGTGGTGTATATAGGTTATAAAGGGTGTCATCTGAGGCAGTAAGTTATCTGGCTGATTGGAAGGTCATAAGAGTATATAAGGCCCATAGAAAATTAATCTCAACATAAACTATTTGTTCTTTGTGTTCTATTATTCATTGTTATATTGAGTAAATGATTTTGTAGGCTACACACATATACACATTTTCTAGTACTCTTTAGCAGTTCTGATGAAATGTTTCAAGTCATTCTGCTTTCCTTTTTTTTTCCTGTTTATGTATCTTCTTCTATAAATAGTAGTTAATACCTGAGGAGATTTTCTTCTATACATATCACCAATAATCTATAGTACAGGGCATGGAATTCATTTTTTCCTCTTCATTCTAAAATGATTTTCCCCAAATTAACTTGATTCTTTGCACTTATTATCTGATACAGCACAAAATTTCAAATTCAAAGATATAGTCTCAAAATCCTTTTGAGATGATCCACAGATTCTAAATATAAAACCAACAAGAGCAACAATAGATCTAATGACTTAGAATACACATATAGCCACGGTTCATCAATCTCCAGCCAGGTGGTTTTGGACATGTTTCTTTATTTCTCTGAGGCTCTGTTTCCTCAGCTGTAGAACAGGAGACATTTGATTTAATGAGCTCTAAAGTCTTTTCCATTACTAGTTTGTGTTCTTTCTGAATGCTCATCATAAAATTATTTTTACAGTATTTAAATTTGAAGTAAATGTCCCCACTACCACCACAACCTAACTAGGACTGTTGGGAGAACAATTTCCCAATTCCACAAATGCTCTGAAATTAGAGATTTGCTCATTTCAGGAATGATTGCTCCCTAGAGCCACCCTCTATATAAATATTGGCAAGAGTGTAGGATAGAAGGCAAATTGGAAATACCTCTGTTGCTGGCCCAGTTGATTTACTTATGGGCAGGAAGCAATGGCATTTGAGGACACTAACTGGCAAAAACACACAATTAGTTCTGAACTTGGGCTATTCAAGTCCTTTGATACAACATAGTCTTCCTTCTTAGATTGGTGGATAGACAGAAATAAATAGAGATTTTGCCTAATTGCAGAGTTCCTTGTAAAGAACTGATGACTAGATTGGTAGTTCAGATTGTGCTGAGCAATTTCATAGGAAATCACACCTGAAAGATATGTTGGATGCTAATGAGATATGTAAGTTTTTTAACCTTTTTCTATTTTATTTCTTGCTTTTTTTTTCTTTTTCTTCCACACAACAGTGAACCTTGTTATTTGATTGTAAAATGGTAACATGATTTTCATTAATGGAATGAGATATGATTTCTTTTTTGGGGAGCAAGGGTACTCAGTCTTAAAATAATAGGATTTAGAACTAGAATGTACCCTAGAAAATGTTTGATTCAATCCCTTCTTTTTAGATAAGGAAATTGAGACTCAAAGAGATTAAATAATTTCCCTAAAGCCATGCAGGTAGTAAATAATAGAACTAGAATCTTAATAGCACTCTTCAAGCTCTACATATAGTGCCCCTTTCATTGCATCATAATGCCTTAGCGAGGTACATTCTAAGGATTTTTCAAAAGGTGGTAATTTAAAGTTCAAGAACTAAGCTTAATGGACAGAAAAAGAGACCACTGACCAAGAAGTTAGGACACAGAATATCATCCACTCACCATATCACTTTAGAAAACTCATTTCCCTCATGTTCTACTCTCTCTTCTGTAAAGTGAAGACTTTTGACAAATATAGAAATTCTTGATGTTTTATGTCCTGGACCAATTTGGCAGTCAGGAAACATATAAATCCCTTATCACAATCATGTATGTTACTTACATTCACAATCAAAGAAAATTATTAATGTCATTTAGGTTAGTGAAAATAAAGTTGCAATTTTTCCTATCTAATTTTACAGACCACTAGTACCTTTTGGTTAATCTAAATCTATAAATTAAGGAAGGTGAGCTACATGACATAGCAAGAATTTTTAAAAAAACTGCAAAGTTTCCTCCGGGCATTTCTAGATAGGAGAAGAGGAAACTTAAAGTGTCAATCACAATCATTATAAGTACTTGAAATGCCGTTTCCTGGAAGAGATTAAACTTACTTTGTTTGAACTCAAATGACAGAAGTAAAAGTAATGAGGGGCAGTTGCAAAGAAGCAAAGCTAGATTTTATGTCAGGAGGAAAGTAATTACATCCTAATAAACAGAACTATATCAAAATGGAATGGATTACTTTGGGGAAAAAATGAATTCTTCCTTAAGTAAAATCATTAAGTAAAAGTTAGATGACAACTTGTTGAGGATGTTGTAGAGAATATATATATATATATATATATATTTCATGTACAAGCTGGATCAGATAAACAGTAATGGTTCCATCTAACTTTGAAATTTGGTGATTCTCCAATCCAAAGTACATTAGATGTTAAGCATATATAATGACTTTAAAAATGACAATAAAATTTTCAGATGAGGATTTATGCTTCCTTACCTGCTGGTATATATAAAGAGACTAGAACTGTGATTTAATTAATATAGCAAACTCTCAAATAAGAATATTCTCTCAACCTATGATAATTTGTCTACCGCCTCTAATTTTAAGTTGCCCAGAGTCACAAGGACAGAATGTGATGGAGGAGGGACTTGCTATCCTGATGAAAATTAAACACAAAATAAGGAAAAAAATGAATAAATAAATAAATTACAAAAAAACTTACTTTTAAAAAGAACACAAACATATGCAAACATTGCTTAAAGTAGAATAGAGTAGAGTATATTGCTGTTCAGTCATTTTAGTCATGTCCAACTCTTCATCACTTAATTTGGAGTTTTATTGGCAAAAATACTGCAGTGGTTTGTCATTGCCTCCTGCAGATCATTTTACAGATGAGGAAACTGGGGAAAACAATGTTAAAGACTTGCCCAGGGACGCACAAATAGTAAGTGTCTGAGGCCAGATTTCAACTCAGGAAGATGAGTCCTGACTTCAGGACTAGCACTCTGTCCACTGTACAACCTATTTTCCCAGAGAAGAGTACAGAGTGAAGGCAGAATTTTTGTCTTGTGTAAATGATATCAAAGACTTCAGACCTAGTCCTTAACTATTACTTTTTTTGTCTTATCTTTTTCCCTGTTTTATGTTCTGTTAGTTGTACCACACTCCTACTTAATGCAATATTCCAGATTTCTAATTCACAGGGAGTAGCCTTGTTTGTACTATTTTACTATCTCCAACAGATTTGAGCAAAATAACAGATAAAGTTGAAAACATATAAAAACCAAAGAAACATACAAAATATCAATTGTAATATTTAGTTGGTTGGTTTTACTATTTTATTGCATAAAACTGTTATAAAAATTAATCTGCATAATGCTGAATTTGATCTGCTTCTGAAGGTAGTGAGTACCTTGTAACTGAGCATCTTTAAGAGTGAGCTGGAGAAGCACTTATCAGAAATATTATAGGAGTCACTTTTACTCATAAAGTGCATAATCTTGATAAAGTGTCTGCCAACCCCGAGATACTGTGACTGAAAAAAAAATGAGTCGATATCCGTGATTCACACCTTATTTTATTTGAAACTCACAATGACCAGGTGAGGTAAGTACAGTAGGTATTATTTTCTTCCCTTTGCAGATGTGAAAACAGAGGTGCTGTCATTTTAGATGACTTTCTCATTGACCTTATGAACAAAATAAAACAAAACAAGCTAATAAGGGTTAGAGGTAGTAAATCACATATATACATATACATATACTCATATATACATGTGTGTGTGTTTGTGTGTGTTTAGAGACAGACAGAAAGAGATAGAGATAGAGAGAGAGAGAGAGAAAATCCCCCTTGCTACCTTGAGCTAAGCTAAGAGCTTAGTGAATAGTTTGCTTGATTTTATTTTACTTTTTCAACTCACTTTTACTGTGTTTTTGGATCTTCATTATCATCCTTTGATCTTCCCTCCTCAATCCCCATTGAGAAAGCAAAAACACAAAATGAATTACAAACTCACAGAATGAAGTAAAACAAATTCGTGCTTTGGCCATGTCTAAAAAAACAAACAAGCCAGCAAAAAACCTCATTCTTTACTCTTAGACCATTACTTCTTTAACAGGAGGTTGCTTTCATGCATAAATGCATTTTGTTGATTAATTTTTATGACATTTTAATATTATCCATACTCCTTAGAGTTTACTTGATCTATCTCAAAAGATTCTATGTTTCCTGCTACAGGAAGTATCCAAGAAGCAACTAAAAGGCCACTTGAGAATATAGAAATTCTTGCCCAGTTGTGGTTTAGATTTGATGATATCAGCCATTCCTTCCAATTCAGACATTCTGTAATCCTGTGAGTTAAATGATCAGAAATCATTGCTATTTCAAAAAGCTCCCATATGCCCTGCACATGGGATATTGAAGTGATACATCAAATTACCCACTCTGTAGATGTCAATGTTGTATTTGAGAACCTTTTTTTTCCATAATGTAATTCACACAATACTGATATAGCATTTCTGATGTTGTTTTATGTTTACTTTATTTTTCAGATAACTACTGGCCATCTTCTAATGTTTTTTTTTTGTTTATTTTTAAAGATGAACAATAAGAATAATGTCACTGAATTTATTCTCTTGGGGCTTTCTCAGAATAACCAGGTTCAGATTCTGTGCTTTGTCATTTTCTTATTTTGTTACATGGCTATTTTGATGGGAAATTTGATCATCATCATCTCCACAACATGCAGCCAGCTCAGTGAACAACCCATGTACTTTTTACTGACTTACTTGTCCTTCATGGATATTTGCTACACCTCCATGGTGACCCCTAAACTCATCAGTGATATGCTGGCTGAAAGGAAGAGTATTTCCTATCCTAATTGTCTGATACAGCTTTTCACTGTGCACTTCTTTGGAGGGGTGGAGGTCTTCATACTCACAGGGATGGCCTATGACCGATATGTGGCCATTTGCAAACCTCTCCACTACATTGCTATCATGAGCAGGGACAGGTGCAATGCATTGTTCTTGGCTGCTTGTGGTGAGGGGTTTCTGAATTCATTTGCACAGTTGCTCCTTGCTGTTCTCTTACCTTTCTGTGGCCCCAGTGAGATAAATAACTATTTCTGTGACATGTATCCATTGCTGAAACTTCCCTGCACTGATACCCACAGGTTTGGTCTTTTAGTAATAGCCAATTCAGGGATGATTGCACTGGTAGTTTTCATGGTCCTTATGGCTTCATATGGTGTAATCTTATATAACCTGCAGGCACAGTCTTCTGAGAGCTGCAAAAAAGTTCTATACACATGTAGTTCCCATATCACTGTTGTAGTCTTATTTTTTGGGTCCTTCATTTCACTCTTCATTTATATTAGACCAGCCACCACATTCCAGGAGGATAAAGCTTGGGCTCTGTTTTACACAATCATTGCTCCCATGTTTAACCCCTTGATATACACTTTGAAGAATTCAGAAATGAAAAATGCCATGAAGAAAGTGTGGAACAAAAGCATATTCAAGAGAAGAAAACAAATGTTCTAAAAAGCATTGCTGGATTTCACTATGAGCCTTGATGTAATGACTGAATAACAACCCATTCAGTACAAATGTATGAGAGGCTACTCTGAGGCTCACAGAAAAAGTGTGGCATGAGATGTAATGCTTAAAGAGACCTCAGATTTAATCAAGTCCACTACATAGGTCTTACCAATGAGAAAATGAGTCAGGATTAGCCAAATGACGTCCCTAAGGTCACACAACTGGTTTTTTGCTAGACTAGCATTTAAATTCCAGTTTCGTAACTTAGAATACAATGGTTTTACTCTGACATTGCCAAGCTTTTCTAAATGTTGATAAATCTTGATTACAAATTATTTCATTTGCTAGTGAGATTCTGTTCATGTATTGTCATTTTATCAATATATTTAATCATATAAAGCAAGTGAAAAAATCCAGTTACTGGAAATTTCCCTTTTTAAGTACTAAAATTAAGGGGTAGATGTATCTCAAGATAATTGGGTCTTTATGTCACTGTCTAATAATAGCTTGCATTTATATAGTAACTTAAGAACTTCAAAGCACCTTACATATATAATCTCATTTTATTCTCACAATAGCCCTGTGAGATAGGTGAGATAGGTGTCAGTATAATCCTCATTTTACAGATAACAAACCTGAGACAGAAAGTGTTTAAGTGAATTGTCAAGGGTCACATAGCCAGTAAGTATCTGAGGTCATATTTTAACTCAGGTCTTATTGGCTTCAGGTTCAGCATTCTATTGACTAGGCAATCTACCCTAATATTACTACTTCTGTCTTGTGCTTGTCTCCCCAGCAATATCAAAAGGAAGTAGTACTAGGTAATTAGACAGTGTTACTGGCATTGTAGAGTACTCTGATCTTTGTATAATCTGCAAAATATGTTAAATAAGTAAATATATATAATGTATATATAATCTATCATCTAATCGTATCTAACTATATCACTTAATATCTATCTATCTATTATTGAGGTCTAGAGTCAAGAGGAGTTTAATAGAATTTAATGTAATATGTTGTATGTTTGGGGGAGTAGTATTATTGTGTCTACATTAGTATGACCCTTCCATGAACCTTAGCTACTAATCTTTCTTTCTCTCAGCCATTAATCTTTTTCCTTAGGGTAAAGTGTACATGGATCAATTCCCAAATATTTAATAGTTTATTGTTCTTATTGTAAAATGGATTTCTTTTTAAAATGTTTTATATTCTTGATCTTTCTTATTATTATATGAAAATGCATCTATATACATATGTTTTTCACATGGATATATGTATATGTGTGCATGTTCATAACCACATACATATATTGCCTGCATATGAATATATATGCCTATTTAATAAGAAATATTAAGGATAAAAGACATTTTTAAAAGAAACCACAATTAGAATAAGAACATAAATACACACTATTAAGTATATGTGTACATATGTGTGTATATGGGTATGTGTGTGTGTGTGTGCATGTATTCTTGTAACTTTTACCATTGTGGAATACTTTCATTGTCTGCTATTTTTTCTAATTGAAAAACTTTGATTTCTTATCTTTGCTATCATGTCATCTTCAACTCAGGATGTTTTTAACTCCTAATTCTCAAAGGTAATATTCCTAATATGTTCAACATCTTATGGATATTGCTATAATTAATGATTCTATGTCAAGTAATTACAATATTTTTTCAGTATACTTTTGTATATAACTAAAATTTTTGTAACTTTAAATTGTGTGAATTTTATGATTAAAGATACATTTTATAATGATTTGAATAGCTCATTCATTAGTGAAAAAATCTATATTAAAGCTCACTATATGTAAGATACTCTGTTAAGCACTGGGGGAGGCAAAAAATAAAAAATAAAACCTGATGTACATCTTCAAAAAGATCACATTCTTATAGCTTAAGCAACATACACATAATACATGCATAAAATAATGTAAATGGAAGGTTATTTCAGAGTGAAGGCAGTGGCACAGTGTGAGGGACAGAAAAGGCCTTCTGTAGAAGGTTGGTTTTGAGCTTAATCTCCAAGAAAGCAAGAAGAGGTAGAACATTCCAGTCATACAAGAAAATGAAAGAAAAAGTGTGAAATCAAAAGACTCTGTGCTGTGATTAAAGAAAAAGCAACAAAAAAGCTAATGGAATTGGATCAGAGTATATGAGAAGAAAAGTAAATTGTAAAAAGTTTGTAAGGGTAGGAAGGGACCAGATTTTGAAAGGTTTTAACTTGATTTGACAGCTAACAGGGTTTTCTTTCTGAGTGGATGTGTATGACATGAGAAGATTTATGCTTTAGGAAAACTATTTTGGCATCTTAGTTAATGGGAATGGGGAGAGACTTGAGGCAGGGAAATCAACTAAAAGGATATTGTGATAATTCCAAAATGAGGTGATGAGGGATCAAGGAGGCAGCAATATTCATGCAGAGAGGTCATCCATGTAGGGGATGTTATGGGATAGGGGAAGGAAACCAATTCATGTGTTGCCTACTATGGTTAGGTACCATGCTAAGTACTTTATAAATATTGTTTTATTTGAAAAAATGGAAATGATGATACTTAGTAAAAGACTGTGTATGTGGGATGAATATTAATGAAGAATTAAGTTTGTGAGTCTTGGTCATTGAGAGGTAACTACAGAGTTTGGAAGAGGGGGACTTCTGTGGTGAAAGATGATAGGTTATGTTTCAGACATATCACATTTTAGATGACTCCAATATATTCAGTTTGATTTGTCTAATAGATGATTTGAGAATAGAGCTCAAGAGAAAGGTTAGGTTAGAGGTTAAGTTAGAGTTTAAGTTAAGCAGATCTGATAATGATTAGCATTTACATGGTAATCGAATTGATAAAAGCTGATGAAATCCAAAGGAAATCATGTAAAGGGAGAAGAGAGTGCATGGCAGACTGCTTGGAGCCATACATATTTATTGAGTATAAGCTGGAAAAAGATTCAGAAAAGAAGGCTTGGAAGGGAGTGGTCAGATAGGCTAAAAAAAGAATTATAAGTGTCATGAAATCCAAGAAAAAAATGAATATTCAAGGAAAGAGGGTGATCAATAGGAGCAAAAACTTAAGAGGTCAAGAATGATGGGAAGTAAAAAAGGGAACATTACATTTGACAACCAAGAAGTCATTGACAATTTTGAAGATAACAATTCCAGTTGAATGATTAGGTTACAAGTCAATTAGGTCACAACAATAATGTGTGTGGCCTTGGTAAAGTCCTTTCATATCCCTGTGCTATTCTTGTGCCCAATTTCTTTATATGTTAAATGAATGAATTAGGCAAGGGCTTTTTTTTTAAATACTCTTTCAAAACTATTTATTTAATTCTCAAAACCTACATTCTATCAGGAAACTTCAAAGCAAGTTTCAAATAATTGTATCAAAATGTACCTTCACGCAGTCAAGCAAGGAAGTCTCTACATCTGCAAATGCTTTACATGCTGTGCTTCAGTCATTTCAAACATAAATACCCTACAGAGACTCCCTCCCTCCAAAAATGATTCCTACTGAGAAGCAAGGTAGAACATGGTCAAGATCTGGTTTGCCATTTTCAGCTGAATAATATAAATCACAGTGATTAGACCAAGGTGGTTTTCACTAAACTTCAACTTGGCATTATTTAATTATCTCCAAGGAAAGCACTCTGATTTCCAACAGAATTCCTTCTGGGCTATGGGTACAGCTGGATAGCTCTAAACCAATCTCCATCCCTTTTAGTTCTCTGTTCTGATGCAGTTGAAGGACTGTAGCAGAAATAGAAATTGGAGCTGAGGAAGGACACCAGAAATCATACCTGAAATATACATGGTATAATTATGGGACATGTAAATTTTCAATTAGGGACTTTTTTCCTATTCCATTTCCTGCTCCCTCTACCTTACCTAAGATTATAAGATTTCAAATGCGAGTTGAGATATCCGATAGTTCAAGCCCTCCCTCTCATTTTATAAGTGAGGAAACTAAAGCTCATAAATGAAAAATGACTTGTGCAAGATCATTTTACTGGTAAGTCATGTCACATTATCTTTCTCTTATTCTCCTTCTTTTACACCTTTTCCTCCTTTGTAGTTTCCCACTCTTCATCTCCCTATTCTATTTCATTTATTTTTCTCCTCTTTCTTCCTCTGTACCTCTCATTTTTGTGACTTTACTAAGTGTCTATTATGTGCAAGTACTGTGTAGGCATTCCAGTAGGCAATCTATTTCACTAACCTGGATACCTGTTTTTCATTGAGGATTAGTTGGGTTTTTTAAGTGTAATGAAATCTTATAACCTGTTGAGATAGCCTACCTCGGAAAAACCCTGATTCTCTGGATCCTATTTCACATTGGTGGCAGTTTCTCCCATTGATTGGCTGTAAAACCAGAGCAAGCTGCATCTTTAAAACTGAGGAGGCCGAGACAGTCATGCTCTTTTTCCTGTTTCAGCATTTCAGAGGAGGTGAAGCTTCACCCCAGCATGGGCACCATGAGCTGAATGAACTATTGATTTGAGAAGGGGGGTTTTTCCTTCTCCTGCTCTCACTTTTTCCCTGTGGTCCTGAGAAATGGGTATAGGGTACTCCTTTTATTCTGCTTTATTTGCCCATCGCATATTCTTTAGTGAAAACAAACAAAAGGGGCTGAAGTCAATGACTACAGAATACCTAGATAGCTAAAATCCCATGAAGGATTCAGGAAAACCCTGGGAGAGTGATGAAATGTAACACTTCTTGGCACTCTGGAGCCTGGGTAGTCAGTGTTATTAAAGTACTGTTTATTCCTGAAAGTTTTGTGATACAAATAATTAGTTCTTAACAGAAAGGATGTAAAAGAAAAAAAACACAGATTAAAATTCATCTGTTTAATTTAAATAACAAAGTCAGTTTTCTGGACCTCACCATTCTCATGACATTCTTCATTTCTGCATTTTTCAGTGTGTAGATGAGAGGTTTCAACATAGGTGCAATCACAGGGTAAAACACTCAGAACTCTTTGTCATTATTTAGGAAATTGA